ATATTTGAACACGAACAACTCTCTAATATTAATATTTAAAATTAAACACAATATATTGCCAAATTATCTGAGTGATCAGTTAACCTACACAAGTAGCATTCATAGACACTCCACTAGAAATAAAATAGGAAATTTTTATATCAACAGAGAACATACAGGTTGTGACTCGTTGTATAGTTCTGGTCTGATTGTATTTAATAATTTGCCAAGTCATACAAAAAGCTGTGACTCATTAAAGGATAATGAATTGAAAAAAATACAAAGATAGTTATTACTTCAATGTATTACAATAATTCCACTACATTCAAATTGTGGATTCTAATGTATGATATGTTCAGAAGTTGGGTACATCAAACCACTGATAGATTTTCTCTTGTGTCTCGTCGAATTGGTAATCTATGCATTTTGGTTTCCTGAAATATATAATCGATGCTAGATGTTTCTGATAGAATTTGTCAATACTTACAGAAAATAACTATATTTGTTACAAGAGACAACTGGATATTCCTTCTTGAAACATTGTGTACCCAAAATGGTGAAGTATATATGACCAACTTCTCTGGAAGTCTTGGTATTCACAGACTTTAGACATTTATAAAACTCCTTATCACAGTCACAATGCAACCTTGAAAATACAGTGTATTGATTTTTCAAACCAAATAAATAACGGTAATTTACCTTGTGTAAAACGAAGGATTTATGAGGTTATGATCAGTCTGGAAACCCTCAATGATATCAGGACAGAGATCATGGTTTCTGCAACATTTGTCGGTATTCCTGTGTATGCCAAAATCTGATTCGTTATCGGCAATATTTCCAGCACCACACCATTTGGTACCTAAACATCAACAAAATTATAGTGTTTAATTTTTTATTCATTTCAATCAAATTGGATTCCAGAGAAGAGAAATAGCCATATTTTGATGAAATTTCAAATACACTCAAATTTCAATGATTCCCACAGAACCTTAATGTATATGTGTTCAATTCGTTAAAGGCTGGCTCTTTGGGAGCGACAAAGGAAAAAGGAAAATAATTGATGTTTAAATGTTATCTTATTAATCAATTCAGGGCGATCGAGGTGGGTGACATCTAGATTCTATAATTCAAACGTAACTCAGGCCAGACATTAATATACCATAAGAAAGTGTTGTATGAAACATATATGGTAGCCTAATTTTTTTTATATAATATAATATAAAAATGTCATGACTTGTAAGTTCAAAAATTATTGTTCAATGAGCCAATTCATAAATATGGATCCGTAATTTATTCAAAAAACAGTTTATTGTGATATTTTCACCATACAATTTTACAAAAACGCAACACGTGTTTCGCCATACAATGGCTTCCGCGGGCGTGTCTACTAACTGAAGAAGCCATTGTATGGCGAATCTCGTGTTGTGTTTTTGAAAAACTGTTTAATGAAAATCTCACAATAAAGTGTTTTTTGAAGTAGTTATGGATTTTCATCAAGTATCGGCCAATTCCATCATATATGTATCGGTGAAACGATTAACAAATCAATGTCTTTTACAGTGAACCTTCAACTGAGATTATTTAGCTAGAGTTTCAAACTTCCATTACCTGGAGATGTGATTCCTAGTACATTAAAAAGTCTAGAACATATATAATTACGCTGAAAAATAAAAATTCACGATGTATTTACTTCAATCAATAGAAAAGCATTAACGTTTCGAATAAATCAACAGATGAAACCATCAGGTCAATCGGTAAACTCCCCGAAGAAGTTGGGAACCCGCCTATGGAATACGGTATTGAAGGAAAAACTTGTTCAATGAAATTCAATTTATCAATTACCTAATCATGTGAAGATTTGCAATATACAGGGCTATTCAAATTCGTTTCTGTACGTGGGGATCTCGTAAACGATAAAAGATAGAGTGTCGGTTAAATTNACTTCCTTATTTACCTGTTTATGTCTGACTATTCGTTCATTTAGGATGTATATAAATATGTATGTGTGTGGTATTTATGTGCGTTTATATATGCATATTCATTTATTTATCTATAATTGTTTTAGCTGTGCACTAAAAATCGTAACCATATTTCAGTATGACACATACATTAAACCAGTGTATATGTATAATGTATAGTTATTATAGTGAAACTCATTTATGATTAGCTTTGTCAACGTGTTTATACTTTGGACAATAAAGCATATTTGATTTGATTTGAATTGATCATATGCTACCTTTTAAAAATGTATGATTTTCATAGTATTGGAGTATAAATTAAGTTTCAGTGTATTGCCATCAGTTGTAGGTGGTGCACATGAAAATCTTGGGAAAGTGAAAACAACTCGAGTGGGGGATTTTTGTCAAAAAGTCTTGTACGGCTCTTATAAATTCAGATACCCATACGATCTTTCCTATCCAAAGGCTGTATAAACTGACAACTTTTATTCACAAAAACCGAAATGATCACGAAAAAATATATAATAAACAAACAGGATGATAAATATTAAGTGAAAATTCACACTATTATATTCAGTTGTATCATGAAAATCTCACAGATGAATAATTTATACTTACCTAGATATTCTACTTTAAAAAAGGAAAATTTTCTTTATAAATCAACAATTGAGGCAAAATATAAATTATAGTTCAATACCACCTCCACAAACCACATAAACAACAGTTGTGATGTTACTTATTTATATAGAGGAAGATAGGTTAGGTGCACAGAATGTCTCAGAACTCGGAACATAAGTAAACAGAACAACTAGCTTTTGAAATATGGCATCTTTGTTTGTCTCATACAGGTAACAGATTCATTGTCCTTTATTAGCTATAACCGATGTTGTCAAATGATGAAATAGAAACGAATCCCTTCAAATGTTGAATGCATTATTTCATTCATCTTTTTTTAAGTATTTGTCAAGTAAACAAAGATAAGTTTCATACTCTTTATTTCAGTGTTGCCAAATTATCATGAAAACACATTAGTGTCAATACACATTAGCAACTCCTTCACAGTATTTAAATAATTTTTTAAAGGAAAACGTTGAAATGATAAGTTTAAGCTCTTTTATGAAAACTACTTGATTTTTGTCAGGAGGAACATTCCCCATTGTATATAGTTACCATATCAGAGCGATGTCAATGAGGACAGAACCCGTGACCCCGAAATCATGGAAGACCTGGAGACAAATTTCGATGAAGACGATAAAGAAGAGGACTTTGAAATAATACAGCGTTCGGAAGACGACGATGAAAAAGAAGAAGATAATTAATATATATCCTTTTTTTTAATTCCACAATCATAAATAATGTATGGAATATTTTTTAATACAAATGTAATCTACAAAATTGATAATGAATACTTATAAATAGCGAAAAACCCATAGGAAACGAGATATTTCGGGATGATTCATACTTGAAATTATCGGTAATCTATCCACGTAGAAATAATTAAGTAGATTCAGTTACAACCCAGATCTGTCCAGTATATTTCTGGTGAGGGTTAATTAGATCCAAACACTCACAAAGTGCCTCAACTCCCAATTTTGAAGGCTACAAGTCGGCAGTGAGATCATTAATTTTGAGCCACTCATCCCTGAATTTAATCTCAGATTAACGTATTATAGGTGTTGCGCACTGTAGTTATATTCAGAAGAAAATAGCCACGAAAATTAATTATTTATATATATTGAAAAATAAAATAAGTGAATATGCAAAATTAACAATTTATAAATCAATAATAGCACCCCACTTTGATTATTGCAGTACGTTACTCTATTTTGTGAGCAATCAAAGTCCAAACAGACTACAGAAGCTTTAAAACAGATTCATGAGGGCAATATTAAGTTTTGTTATAAACGCACATCTGTGGAATACATGTTGGAAACACTGTCTCTTATGTCTGCTTAACAAAGGATAACACTGAAAGACCAATTCCACATTTGCAAACCATCTTTTAGCAGAAGGACATGAGTTCAATCATGAGTACGAGGTGTTACATTTAGAAGAGAANTATTAATACACTCGCATATACCATACAAAACTCGCCTTCGGCTCGTTTCGTATCCCGGTTAATGCTCGTGTCTTAATAACCATCATTACATGATCGTTGCATAATATACTATTAAATGTTATCTTATTAATCAATTCAGGGCGATCGAGGTGGGTGACATCTAGATTCTATAATTCGAACGTACCTCAGGCCAAAAATTAATATTATACCATAAGAAAGTGTAGTATGAAACATATGGTAGGCTAATTTTTTTATTGTAATATAAAAATGAGTTATTTGTCATGACTAGTAAGTTCAAAAATTATTGTTCAATGAGCCAATTCATAAATATGGATCCGTAATTTATTCAAAAAACAGTTTATTGTGATATTTTCACCATACAATTTTACAAAAACGCAACACGTGTTTCGCCATACAATGGCTTCCGCGGGCGTGTCTACTAACTGAAGAAGCCATTGTATGGCGAATCACGTGTTGTGTTTTTGAAAAACTGCTTAATGAAAATCTCACAATAAAGTGTTTTTTGAAGGAGTTATGGATTTTCATCAAGTATCGGCCAATTCCATCATATATGTATCGGTGAAACGATTAACAAATCAATGTCTTTTACAGTGAACCTTCAACTGAGATTATTTAGCTAGAGTTTCAAACTTCCATTACCTGGAGATGTGATTCCTAGTACATTAAAAAGTCTAGAACATATATAATTACGCTGAAAAATAAAAATTCACGATGTATTTACTTCAATCAATAGAAAAGCATTAACGTTTCGAATAAATCAACAGATGAAACCATCAGGTCAATCGGTAAACTCTCCGAAGAAGTTGGGAACCCGCCTATGGAATACGGTATTGAAGGAAAAACTTGTTCAATGAAATTCAATTTATCAATTACCTAATCATGTTAAGATTTGCAAAATACAGGGCTATTCAAATTCGTTTCTGTACGTGGGGATCTCGTAAACGATAAAAGATAAGAGTGTCGGTTAAATTATGGTTCTGGAGATATACAGGAAAAACCAAAAAATCCCAAAGTATATTTTTGCCTTTATCTTCTTTATTCGCAGACATATTGAGAATCTGTCCACAATTTGCTATTGGCACTTGATGTGGGCTCTCAGACTATATCCATGAATCTTTTATACAGGGTGTCATTTGACTTGGGCCACCCCCATCTTTGAATTTTTCGGTAATATTCGATTATAATTATGCGAATTATTCCCTTTTAAATTACGAAAAACTCTCCCTATGTACCGTAGAGTTTTTCGAGAGTTTTTTTTCATTTTTAGGTACTTATTCATATTTTTTCCATTGCTCTGAGCGTTTTCTACAATGAACTTCGAATAAAAAATGAAGTAATTTATATACGCAAAAAAATTAATTGTGCAATAAATGTTCGAATTGGAGTCCTTCCATTTCGAGACAAATAATGGGACAATAATAAGATGGTCTGCAAGATCACAGATCTTACTATTTTGGACTATTTTCTATGGGGACATTGAAAAATAGGATTTACGCTGGCAGAGAGAAAGAAAATGTGGAAGACTCGAGATTGAGGATTTTGAATGATTTCACAACAATGTAGCAAATAAGTGTATTAAGGGCAATAAATAATATGAAAAACCGAGTTTAAAAATGTCTCGAAATGGAAGCACTCCAATTCGAACATTTATTGCGCCAATATTTTTTTTGGTACCTATATAAATTACTTCGTTTCAATTTTCATTACAATTATAGTGTTCGTTTCGAATGTTATTATTGCTATCTTTTCTTTTTCTGCTTATATACATATAATATATTTTTGATGTAGATATGTTTCATATATGAATAGGTACCTAAAAATGAAAAAAAAATCGAAAAACTCTGCGATACATAGGGCGACGTGAAAGTTGCTATCATGTTCTTATTCAACTCATTCAACCAATTTCCAGGGCCGTAATTTAAAAGGGAATAATTCACATCCCGAAATATAAAATTGAATTTAATTTCTCAGTATCTCTATCTCTTATCGTTTACAAGATCCCCATGTACAGAAACGAATTTGAATAGCCCTGTATATCCTAATACCCATAACTGGTTGGTTGGACTTAATAAGTGCGTCAATGAACTCACACCAGTATTTTGCAGACTCTTCAACTTGTCTTAAAAGAAAGAGATTTTTTCTTGTTGAAATATTGCTCGCACGTTCAGCTTATTCCTGAAAGGGTAAGAAAAAATCTTCAAAATAACTATAAACCAGTCGCTTTGCTATCAGTTATATCAAAAATCATGGAGAAAGCCGTAAACCACTATATCCATGAATATTTGGAAGGCTTTAACATTTTGAGCGATCATCCATGTCATATATCGTATGTCATCCATATTTGGAATAACGCAATCGAGAAACATGGAGAGTCTAGAGTTGTTACACTTGATATTTCTAAGGCCTTTGACCGTGTGTAGCATGAGGGTTTGCTGACCATACTTTGATGCTATAGCTTGTCGGATCATTTTTGTGTATGGCTCTCCAGTTTCATGAAAGAACGTTCCCTGCAAGTGGCCCTGGTGTTCCCCAGGAATCCATATATTGGCTCCAACCCTCGTTTTATTGTATATCAACGACTTATTGGAGAAAACTGAGATTCCAATATATTTCTTTGCTGACGACAGCACGCTTGTCTCGTCTTTCAATTTGGATTCCAGGACATCGGCTACGGAGGCACTTCTTCACCGGCAGCAGGAGATTTCATATCTTAATGAGGATCTAGAAGTGATTTCGAATTGGGGTGAAAGTAACCAGGTTCAATTCAAAGCCACAAAAACCCAGGCATCGGTTTTCTCCAAGAAGATAAATGTCTCCGAACCAGATATAATAATGTCAGGACAGATAATTCCGCTTTCTGCTTCAGTAAAATTGTTGTGGGTGGACATGAACACCAATATGTCTCGGCACAATCATGTCACTGGAATTGCAAATGCTGCCAGAAAACTGTAAACACCTCACCGATTTGTGATGCTTTATAAAGCTCAGATCAGACTTTGTTTGGAGTATTATTATCATGTATGGAGCTCCCCATGCTTATTCTTGTGATCGTGTCGCGACCGACAGGGTGGTAATGTAGGTTTTTCCGACTTTACCTTCTGCTGAAACGGCAAATCAAACATCAAATGCCTTCATTTAGGAAAACTCTTTATATTAGGGATTCCAGGGCCAAGCATTGCAAATGCATATATAATTGGAAATTGCACACGTTTGAAATTATTTGGCACATCTGTAGGTATAATAGGGATTCGTGGTATTGATATATTTTAATCTCCTAACTTGTCATTCCAAATACTGGTTTTGACAACGTTTTTCATCAATTTTTCTTTGACTAATCGCCTAGCTAAAAGCGCCGTACGGAAGTAAAGGCTAAGGAAACCTAGAGAGAGAATGACTGATCGTGTGCTGTTGCACAGGCTTGGTGGATTTAAATTACGGAGCGATCCAGTTGTAAATTATGCGGTGGCATGCCTGGCAAATTCAAAGAGTTCAAAAACTCAGTTGGATACACCTATAGACGCCTGGCGGGAATAACTTATCTATGATCGGGGATAAAAATATCAAATTACTTAAATGGTCATTAAAAAATAGGAGTTGGTGATGACAGGGTAATAATTGAGGGTTATATGTATTAAATGTCATAACATAAAAAAGTAAAAACAAGAAATTTTGTCCATAAAATAAAAATATATATTTGGGGTGGGGCACCGCAGATCTACCGAATATACATTTAAACTTTCAGAAAAGTCGGTCAAGCCGTTTATGCTGTTGCACAGGCTTGGTGGATTCAAATTACGGAGCGATCCAGTTGTATGTAAATCATGTGGTGGCATGCCTGGCAAATCCAAAGAGTTCAAAAACTCAGTTGGATACACCTATAGACGCCTGGCGGGAATAACTTATCTATGATCAGGGATAAAAATATCAAATTACTCAAATGGTCATAAAAAAATAGGAGTTAGTGATGACAGGGTAATAATTGAAGGTTCTATGTATTAAATGCCATAACATAAAAAAGTAAAAACAACAAATTTTGTCCATAAAATAAAAATATATATTTGGGGTGGGGCACCACAGATCTACCGAATATACATATAAACTTTCAGAAAAGTCGGTCAAGCCGTTTTCGAGGATTATGGCAACTAACAGCGTGACACGAGAATTTCATATATACATAGAGATTATTGTATATATGTTATAATAACCTTTCATAATTCTGTAAATATGAAAAATACCTGGATAAATTAAAAGCTGGTTTGGCAGATTGACTTCCTCTGATCTTGCATCTAAGCCGATAATGTCAAAATCGGCAGACTTATCCCAAATGATTTTGACACCCTCTGTACTACAGGAGAAATAAAAGACTAATACACCAATTACACGGTTCATTTTGGGTACCAAGTGTTTTTATTCATTCAAAATACAATTTATATAATAGAATTTCTTCACAATTTAAATAATTGCAATTTGTTTTCAGGTAGCGTTTCTGGTCTAGTCGGCATAAACTTATCGTTATGATAAGGTGCCATGTTTTGGATTCGATCAGTCGAATAATTACTATAATCGGAGTTTAATGAATGTCGAGTCGACAAGCCTATTTACATTCAGTATCAACGATTTGTTTTATCTTTTTCATGAAAATTCAATTAGCGAGATTGAAAAAGTATTTTTAAACGAAAGAAGTGTCTGGGTTAGATTTGCGGGGAAACATTTTAGTGAGGAACTGAAAAATTAATATGGAGAATCATTATGGTTTATATATTTTTGATTTTGTACTAAAGGTGGGTTGTTTGGAGGTGATTTAGGAACATAGTTACAGAAATAAAAACTAACGAGGCCGAATTTTAAAGAATTGTAAGAACACAGAATACTTTTCAGCAGTTTTACAACTATATTAAATGCACTAGAAGTATTTCATTGACAATACAAGACAGACCTGCACGTCGTCTTGATTTCAATCAGGTTGGAGCCTGGCTCCCTTACCCTTTGAACTGATAATACAAGACAGAAATCGGACCTCAACGACAAGCACAATCTACATAAATATTTTTCCGAAAGTTTTTACTTTAAAAAAAAGTTTTTTGTTTATATATTACTTTTTTTTCTGTGAAGCATTTTATAGTTTCCTATAGTGTTTTTAGACATGTTCAGTCAATTAGTCAAGAACCAAGAAGTTTGCTCTTACTTAACGAGTAATATTCACACGGCAGGAATATTTTTTAAACGCCTGCCGTTACAAGGCAAACTGTACATAGTAACACCATGCAGACAGCGGGCAAATCAGAGAGAGCCTAGCAAAATCAATGCATTTATCAGAAAATACAAATAAAAAGTGACCGATGAAAAAGATTGAATATAATCGCGGACACGGGTTCCAACGGGGTATGATTCTGTGTACGTTTTACAAGATGGATAGACTACTTGGTAACCTACTTAGTGATCAATCGAAGAGCAAATAACCATTAGTCATCCAGGTAGAAGCAAACTAGTGAAATAACTGAGTAGCTGAGTAGTATTATTAAAGTAACTGACTCTCTAGTGATTTCAAATTTCACTACCCGTTCACTAAAAATCATATTCCATAAAATATATTTTTCCTGACATATTACCATTCTATATAGTATATACAAAGATATTACTCAAAAAATTATTCATAAAATATAAAACAAGAACTACCATTTTAGTTCAAACGTACCTACAGTTATTAGTTCTATCGTTCTCTTCCATTGACAACTGTCTCACTGACTACAGCTGCTGTCATTTTGTTGACGTATAACCTAGTTTATCGAATTCATCAATTTATGTATCTATCTAATGGTTCTTCCCTGAAATTTATCATTTATGAAGGTTCGTAAAGGTAATTACATCACATTCATTCATTTTCATTAATGTTTTTTCACCATAATCGTTTGAAACTAATATAACCTATATGTACCTGTTCCCATTAATCATATTTGTTTTTTTTAGGTACAAATACTAAACGATGGATTGTTTACTAGCCTATTACACCGAAAAATTCACGAAAATCGACGGAAATATATTCGAAGTATTTTCGAAATTTTATAGTTTAGATCTGTAAGAGAAAATTGGAAAAAATTATCAAACTTGATACAAATGAGTTTTATTTTTAGATCTCCAGTTGATTCTTGGCTAGAAATTCAATTCAAAAACAAAGTGAAGAAGGATGATCGTTTATCTTTATTCTACAGAAAAGAAGGAAACAAATGTTATGCCCGCAAAGATCTGCTTAAAAGTTTGGAGTATTACACAAAAAGCTTATGTTGTGCCACGCCTGGAAGCAGAGAGTATGGACTTGCTTTAGCAAACAGATCTGCTGTATCTTTTGAAATGAAAGAGTATGAGGTAGAGTGAAAAATCAAAGTTTCATATTTCTGTTGCTGTTTTCGCAAGGAAATTCCAAAAATCAAGTAACATGTCTCAGAAAATCTAGCACCATTGATAAATGTTGAAGTTAATTATATTCTTTATGTTCATTTATGCAATAAGTCAGGTGAAATAAATGGAAAAGAAACTATGTTGCCTCAATCATTACAAAGTATAATGTATGTTTGTTTTAATTTTTAGAACTGCCTAAAAGATATAGAACTATGTTTCAACACTGATTATCCGGTTGATCTCAAACCCAAGATATATTTTAGAAAAGCTGAATGTTATTTTGAAACTGGTCAGAAGGAAGATTTTGAAAAGTGTATAATAGAAACAAATAGATTCCTTTCGATAACCCTCGTAGATGATAGAGGTGGGTAAATAACTTTTCATGTTTCATAAAAACCTTCACAATCATTTCAGATAAGCATTTAGAGAAATTGAATCAAATGAAGAAAGCAAAAATTGGATGTAAAGGTATAGAACTGAACAGGGACAGTTCAAACGATCTTCCAGAATTCAACGAAGGTGAAAATGCAAATTTTGCTTTTGCCTCTTCCAAAATAAAAATGGGGTGAGTACACTAGACTATACATCTACAAATCAATCAGTATATCACAAACATCTTGAATAGTAGGCTGAACTCCATCTGTAGAGTTATACGATATCTACGGGACCAAGTATCAGTCAGCTGTTTGCGAACATATTTCTATGCTCATGTTCAGTCAATTATTTCCTGTGGGAATCTTCCAATTGTGTTTCTCAGATTTTTAGATTCAGCTGTATACTTAAATTCTTGTCTTTGTATTAGAATACTGTTTTAACATTTTAAGATATGTACTGTACATCAATATTTAAATATTTCCTTCCCCTCCAATTTATAGACATTGTGAATACATTTTAACTTGCTTTTTTAAACCTGTACCTGACGTTTGCTGTGATGATCCTTGTGCAATAAAAGTATTATAATTATTATTGTTTTCAGGTACGACAAAACCAGAGGAAGGCATGTGATTGCTGGGAAAAATATAAGGAAAGGGGATGTTTTATTTATTGAGAAAGCTTTTATATTCGCACCTGTTTTCAAAGAAAACAAAGAATTTTATTCTTTCAAATGTTACAATTGTCTTAAAGACATTATAAGTAGTATACCGTAAGTATCAGTAATAAAATATTCAGAATTTTTGTTTGATTACATTTTTCTTTGAGTTGATGACCTGAAGATGTTCAAAGTTATGCTGATGTGATATAAAATATAAACTTATTACAATTGCATATAGACAAATGTCATAAAATTCTTCTTTGGAATCATTTAAAAAGGTTTTGAAAAGATCGTAATTGATTGGCATATTTTCTTAAATCATTTATAGTCTCATATCTTATAACATTAGATTTAGAGCATCGTGAAGGCAGAACACACATGAACTTGCTCAGGTGTCGCTTATAACATTTATATTACTGTATGCTGTTATATTAATGTATATCAAAATAAATATACATTCTGGTTAACATTTCTCATATCGATGTATAATTTCAGATGCGAATGTTGTACTTTATGTGTGTACTGCAATGAAAAATGCCGGACAGCTTCTTGGAATGAATGCCATAAATGGGAGTGCGAAGGAATGCAAGCAAATATCTGGTACGATTTGGGAATTGCATTTCCTGCATTCAAGGCTGTACTGAAAGGGGTAAAATCTGGCTTTCGTAATATTAAAGGAGACTATCGAGAAGATTTGGAGCACTTTGGCGACAAAAATGATAATTACGCTTATTTCAACAGGCTAGTTTCGAATATTTATAAAAGTAAAAATGCAGCTCCATATATCTTGGTGAGAAGTAACTCTGCAGTGTGCTTTTTTCAGGTGATTAATTATTTTCATTTTCAGATGTCAGCCATAGTAGTGACTTACCTTAAAAAATATACAGATTTTTTTGTGTGGTTTCTGCAACAGAAAAACTGCCCAAAAAACGACCTTGGCATTCTAGTCAAGTATATCGGAGGCCTTATCACCAAACACATTGCACAACTGTCCTGCAATTCTAGTATTATAGAGCACTGGACTTATTCATCGACAGACCTCCTGTTTCCTGATATTCTCATCACAATTGCTTGCGGGATGTTTCCGTCTGTTAGCATTATGAATCATTCGTGTCGACCAAATGTTACAAATTTGTAAGTTCATGTAGCATGTAAGAACTTACTTCAATTAAAAATATCATTTTCAGTTTCATCTGTGATACAGTGGTGGTGAAAGCGCTAGAAGATATATTAGAAAACGAGGAAATATTCAACTGTTACGGCATCGATTATCGTGGAATGAACAGGGAACAGAGACAGATTGCTTGTCGAAGTTTATATCATTTCGAATGTAAATGCGTAATATGTAGCGACTCTGCTAAAGAAGTGGTAAGTTTGTGGCTAAACATTTTACTAGTCCAGTACTATTACCAATATATGTGGACAGTAATTCTGCCTCAGCTACTATAATGGTTTCTCTTCAAATATTTATTTTGTCACTACTGGAGTTCCTCATGGATCTGATCTTGGGCCAGTACGTTTTTACTATTCACAAATGATGTATGCAGCACATTATACTGCAATAGATCAATGTTTGCAGATGATTTAAAGTTATTCACCTCTGTTACCGATATAGATGACTGTACTAGATTGCAACAGCAGTTGAACACTTCAAATGATTGGTGCCGCACAAACTGTCCCAATTTAAATATTTCCAAGTGCAAAAAATTGTATAATTTATCAGAAAATTCAATACAATACAATTCACATACAGTATCGATGAGATTATCTTAGATAGAACTAACACTATCAAAGATTAAGGTGTCCATGTTGACTATCAACTTACTTGTAATAATGATCTTTTTTAATCCCTAGAATTGATTCTTCGGAATTACTTTCTCTGAAAGATTTTCTTGTACTAGTATCAACTTCTAGAAATAACACCACTTTTTTGTGCAAAAAAATATTTTCCAAATCATATTATGATAATTCCGTTAAGAAATTCACAATCATTAATTATTGTGTGTATTATGAACTCGGCTTGAAGACATTTAATTTCATACCTAGTTCTCCGAATGATTTCAGGAAATGCTAGATAGTTACCTATGCCCAAAATGTAAAGGACTGGTTCCGGAAATGCCAAACCAAACTCTTAGTTTTTGTGTTAATTGTGGAGATAAATATTCATTGAAACCTTTTCGAAGGATAAACGATGAAGCTCAGAAATATTTGGAGAGTAAGTTTTGTTTATAATTCTTTAGTTCACACAGCTCTAACATTACAATCTTTCAGATGACGACGTGAATCAATTAGAACTTTTGATAAAAAGTTTGAAAATAAGAGAAAAAATTCTATACAAACATCACAAAGATTTTGAAGAAGTCTACTACAGATTGTATAGCTACCACGTAGAATCTGGTGAGTATAATGGACAATGAAAAACGTTTTTGGATCAAAATTATTTGATTTTACATGTGAGCATGTGCTGCACACAAATGGAACAGTCTTCATATCGTCGACTGTGGACCCACTGTCCGCAGTAGGCAGATTGAGACCCCGGCATCAAATTACTAAACTTTCGAAGCTAGTCACTACCTGTGCTTCACAATCAAAGCCGAAACTTCAGATTATCAACCACATCTAACGTTTTTAATTTTTCGGCAGTTCGTAGTTTCTCATGGTAACTTTTTATTATAAACCTGTCCAAAACAATTTTCAAAATAATGATCAAAGACAGAAAAATTGCTCGTTACCTGGCTTTTATATCTTC